TATATATATATATATATATATAATATATATGAATATATGAAAAATTCATGTGGGTACTCAAATGAAAGGTCTCGATGAGTGTAATGTTAGGATGAGCTTATATCTTTAAAAATGTCAATAGTTTACAAGCTACAAGGTAATGTCTTAATTATGTATCTAGAAATTTCGCATTTTGAAATGCGGCCTAATTAGGTAATCACTTATTACTTTTAATAAGTGAGAATTACCTTAGTCAATTAGGTATTAAGTAATTACTTATCATAATAAATTGACTATCGGTTAAAATGATATGATTCTTTGAAAAGGAACAAATTCAGATCAAGACCTTTACAATGACACTAAATTTCACTAAAAAAACCTATTTTATCATATGACTTTCCTGGACTCAAAATTTTTTATATTCCTTTAATAATATAGATGATCAGCTGACAATTCCTCAGACAACAGTTCTTGAAACCACTGTTCCTCGAACAACGGTTCCTGGAACTATTGTTCCTAAAACTATTGTTCCTTAAATAACGGTTCCTGGAACTGTTGTTCCTTGAAAAACGGTTCCTAGAACTTCTGTTCCTTAAACAACGGTTCCTGGAACTGTTCCTTAATCAAATTTCTGGAAATGCTGTTCCTAGAACTATTGTTCCCGGAACTGCTGTTAAGGAATTCCTGTTCCTTAAATTACGGTTCCTGGAATTGTTTTTCCTTGAACTATTGTTCCTCAAACAATAGTTCCTATAACTTTTGTTCTTTTAATAATGGTTCCTGGAACTGTTCCTTAATCAAGTTCCTGGAACTGCTGTTCCTAGAACTATTGTTCCTGGAACTTCTATTCAAAAATGTTTGAAAAAGTTATTTACTTTTAAAAATCACCTATGCACTTGGATTTATTAAACACATTATTTATTTTACAGGAAATAAAAAACGAACTGTCTTTCCTTTAAGAAAACCAGTATTAGAAGCCGACCTACTCCCAATAGACGCTAGTGACAACAATCGGTACATAAATCTCAGCAAAGTTGACCAGCGCACTGTCGATTTGGTAGCTATGGGTGACAGAAAAATAAGTTCTTTGACCCACGAGCTTTCAAAACTGAAGAACGAGCTGTCTCAACAGAAAGACAACATTGTTTTATACCGAGAGCAGGTGAGAAATAAATTAACAAAAAATAAATAATTAAATTAAACTAAATTAGCAACTAACTTATTAATAATGATAATCCTCAGCTGGCGTTGAAGGACAAGGAAGTGTACAGATTAAAAAAAATAGTAGAAGCTAAGATCGGCAAGAACTGCACTTGCAGAAAGAACGAGCGGTGTGTCGAGTGTAATTTACTCGGTTCGAATAAATTATCTGAAATAAACGAGGTGAGAGTTCTGCAGCAGGCGAAGCTGAACCTGGAACAGCAGCTAAGAGACGCTCTGGACAAGCAGCATGACGCAATGACCCAGGCGATGAAACTCGCAGAGAGGAATGAGGAACTGGAGAAGGAATTGAAGGACATTGACCATATTGCCCTGGCTGTTGAAGCTGACTGCAATTCTACTGTCAAGGAAAACAACAAACGCGTCAGCCAGCTTCAGGAAAAATTGGAGAACACCATGGCCCAGATCAGGCAGCTGGAGACCAATTTGTTGGGTGAAAAACGGACCAGTCAGGAACTCAGAGCTGATTTGGAGAGCTGCAGAGCTGAGAAAAGAAATATTCAGCGCTCGCTGGATAATCTTGAAGAGGAAAATCGCCAGCTGACCAACAGGCTTAATGATTTGAATATTATAGGTAGGTTTTTTAGGTAATAGAAATTAGTGTCAAATAATTGAGTTGTTAAGATTTTAGGAGTGGAAGATGTTGGTAAAAAAAATTTTGTTATTGTTTTACCAATATACTACTCTGAAAAAGATAGAAACAAAATTTTAAATAGAATTATAATATTGATTTTTTATAATTTCTTCTACTGTTCTTAGAACATGTTCCTGGACCTTCTGTTCCTAGAACATGTTCCTGAAACTATTGTTCCCAGAACATGTTCCTAGAACTATTGTTCCCAGAACATGTTCCTAGAACTATTGTTTTTTAAACATATTCTTGTAACTATTGTTGTTTGAACATGTTCTTGGAACTATTGTTCTTTGGAACATGTTCCTGGAACTGTTTCCTAGAACTTCGGTTCCTAGAACATGTTCCTGGAACTTGTGTTCCTAGTACATGTTCCTGGAACTTGTGTTCCTAGTACATGTTCCTGGAACTTGTGTTCCTAGTACATGTTCTTGTAACTTGTTCCGAGAACATTTTCCTAGAACATGTTTTTGGAACTATAGTCCTTTGACTATGTTCTTGGAACTATTGTTCCTAAAACTTATGTTCCTGGAACTTCTGTCCAAAAAAAGTTACCTACTACTAATTTAGTATAAAAATGAACACATCACCTATTTTTAATTTATTATATTTTTTATAATTACGCTTACATAACACGCATGTTGCTTTTAACATAATAGAACTTCACTTGAATGATGAAATCAATAGACTAGAAACAGTAAATCAAAACCAAAGATTCGAGTTAGCTGAGTTGAGAGAAGAGAATAGATTATTAAAAGAGCAGTTAGATACTAATAAATATAATGTTAAGAAAAATTCTAAGAGCACTGGAAAAATTGGTATACGCTTCAATTTATTTTAGTTAATTTTTGGTTTAATAATTTAGTTTAATTCATTTTTATTTATGTTTGGTTAGACAAAAGGCTGTCTCATGACACTTCCAGCAAGGTAGCTGAAAAAGCAGACAAGATTAAACAATTGGAGAAAACTATTCATCAGCTTGAGAGAGACAAAAATTATTATCGGGAAGAATGGAACAAAGTTTTGAGCCAGAGGAAAGATGCAGACACGGTAAAATTTATTTTATAAAAAAATTTTGGCCTTAATAATTAATTTATCAATTTAAATATTTCCAGACTGAATTATGGAGCCAAATTTGTGAATTAAAGCAACAATTAAACGAAAAAGAATTGAAAATCATGGAACTTCAACGAGAACGCAAGGAACTCGCTCGTGAAAAATTCGAACTTGAAAATAAGCTCCAAACTTGCAGAAGTGTCGGTTCCTGTGGTTGTTTTTCAGAGAACGGTTCCAGGAACTCTCAGTTGAAGGTTCTGGAACGGGAACGAGACTCTGCGCGCACTGACGTCAACCGTTTGACGGAAGAGCGCGACATCTTGCGCGAGCGTCTTAAAGTAAGTAGTGATACCGTTAAATTTATTGTAATAATTAGTTTTTTATTTTTTGTTAAATAATAATGAACTAATTACCTTCAGTTGGCGACGGACGCTCACACTAGTGAGCAAAGAAGGCTCCGGGAACGGCTCAGAGATTTGGAACTGAAGCTTGAAGATGTAGAACGCGAGAAACATAATTATATTTTGTCCCAAGAAAGCCGCAGGTCTGCTCTTACTGGCTTGGAAGATCAGTTAGAAGATGTAAAGGAAGAGTTGAGGAGAACTAAGCAAGAGTTGACTTCTCAGAGGACTCAGTACTTTCAACTGAGGTATGTAATGTTTATAATAATCTTAATAGGAATAATAATAATAATAAAAGAAAAAATTAAGAAATTTTTAAATAGAATTATAAACTTAATTCCTCATAATTTATTATTCTGTTCCTAGAACTCTTGTTCCTAGAACATGTTCCTGGAACTATTGTTCTTAAAACATATTCCTGGAACTATTGTTCTTAAAACATATCATATTCCTGGAACTTTTGTTCCTAGAACATGTTACTAGAACTATTGTTCTTAGAACATGTTCCTGAAACCATTGCCTAGAACATGTTCCTGGAACTATTGTCCTTTAAACAGGTTCGTGGAACTTCTGTTCCTCGAACAACGGTTCTTGAAACTTTAATTCCTACAAAGAATTGTTCCTAACTTTAATTCCTAAAAAGAATTGTTCCTAGAACTATTGTTCCTGGAATTTCTGTCCAGAAAAAGTAACCTGCGACTAATTAGTAATAATAAAATTAATAATTATTATTATAACATGAATAATATCTCAATCTAAAAATGTATTCTAATAAAAATTTTCAGAGCGTTGCAAGATCAGACAGACCAAGCACTAGGAGATGTCCAAAGTCAATTACATCATTCAGAAGCTGAGTTAACAAAAGCAGTGGAACATAGCCGAGATATGGAACAGCAGAACATACAGTTAAATAATGTAGTCAAGGAACAGAAACAAGAGATTAATACTTTGAGAACTAGTATGGCGAGATTGGATCGTGAAAAGGATCAATTACTTGTAAGTATCTTTTTTTTTTTTTTAATTCTTCTTTAATATTAATTGTCAATAATGAAATAATTTTTTTTTTTTTTTTCTTTTTTTCCAGATGGAACTTGATGAAAAAACAGAAAAAATTGCAGGACTAGAACGCGAAGTAATGTTGAAAGAACAACAAGCTAGTGGGATTGAGCAACAACTTCGTGACATGCAGCGGAAAAATCAGTGAGTAATTACCACAAGTTTATTTACACTTTATACATTTCAATAAATACAAGTTAAAAAACAATTACAGCTATTCTTATAACTACAAGTAATAATTATAATATTTTTTTTATAAAATTAATATTTTAGTTAAGATTATTTTTAAAGTACATAGTTATAAATCACGGTATCTTATGCCTAAACAACATGTGCTTGAGCAAGATTTAGATACCAGTGTTTTGAGGAAAACCCCTAGTTGCTAGTGTCTTTTTCTACATATGGGTCTTGCTCAAGTTCATGTAGAAAAAACTGCTTCAAAATTTATATATAACTAGCTCAAGACATCTTGTGCAAGAATATGAGACAAGTCTAATGCAAGGTGCATTGAAAAACTTTCTGACGGATTTTTTGAATCAGAAACTCACAACAGACACTTACCCATCACTTGCTCAAGATTTCCTCAAGATCCATAATTCTCAGTAATTTGTTCATTTCTAAAGCATTTGTCAACCAAAAACTAACAGCAAATGTTGAAGCGTGACTTGCTCAAGATGCATCATGCATTATATATTTTATAGCACTTTTTCCCCGACAACTACTTGAAGATGTATTGATTCAGTGGTGGTCATTTTAAAATAATTTTGTCTTGATCGATAAAACAGTAGGTCTGTACTCTAAAAGGTTAAGCTGAATGAGATCCACTGATCCTATAGTAAATATAGGAGGGGTAGAATGATAAGAACGGTCATTCGAAAACATTCGATCTTTAGCAGATCTTGAGCAAGTCTTGCACAAGTATATTCAGGATGCTTCTGGTGTCAGTCTTTCTCAAGAATTGATATAGTTAGTTTATCGATCAGCATTTTCAGATTTTCTCAATTTTCTTACCCAATTGTTGAGCTATAATCTGGCCGAAAGTTCTTGTACAAGGCTTGTTCAAGACTTGTCAATTGAATTTGCTACAAGTATCTGGAGCCAAGACCCATAGGTAGAAAAAGACACTAACAACTATCGAAATTGAGACCAGACTTGCTCAAGCCTTGAAAAAGATTGCTATATGGGTATCCTATCTTTAATATCTAAAATAATAAAAAAAAAAAATTTCATCACTGGATTTTGTACCGTTGGTTTAAATAATTAGCAATTCCAACCGCGGGCGGTTGACATTCACCAGGATTAGCACTGAGTAAATTAGTTTCAACATCACTATCAACCACCGAAGAATTAACTCTTGAGTAACCAGGCCGGCACTCGCAGGTGACCTTACTAGCGCCATCTCCCGCGTCAATCCAAGAATCAGGCCAGGAGAGGGCCTCGCGAGGCCGTCTCCTGGCAACCAGCCACTCACCTAACCCACACGGGCCCTGGGTGTACAATTTATAGCAGTTCTTACCCACCAGGAACATCCCCGGAGTGTTCTCGCACTTATCAAGCTCCAAATCCAGGTCCCGGCACTTTCCCGAGAGCTTCATCAGCTTTGTGCACCCGCAGACGCCATTGTAGCTGACCCCGTCGACACTGGGCCTGACGGAGTGGTCATAAAGGACTACCTGGCCCGCGGAACAGGGCCCCCGGGTCCCAATTCGGTAGCAAGTACGCTCCCGGGGGAAGTAGAGCCTGCTGCGCTTGCAGGGGACCTGGACGCAGGCCGTGGAGTTCATTAGCATGCTGCCCGGCTCGCACGGGCCACGCGTGTACTTTCTGTAACACTGACCGTCTGAGTAGAGGACATGACCGGGTTTGCAAGTACATGTTGCGTGAATTTCGTCACTTGTTATGCTAGCGTTGGTGACTACGTAATGGTGACCTTGTTTACACGGTCCGATCCCACCTGGAATAATTAATATTTTATCGGTTGTTTTGCATACCTTAAAAGAAAGAGAGGAAAGTGAATTGCTGAATTATAGCTATTAAAATATTTTTAAATGCTGTTTTTTAAGTTACTTGTATTTAAATTAAAGTAACTAGAGATAAATAGTTAAGCGGACTGTATTTAGATAAATATTTTTCTGTTATTATACACTGAGAAAAAAAAATACTTTTATAAAGAAAATTTTCTTGCTACAAGAATTTATGTTTTAACATATATTCTTAGCTCAAGAAAATGTTAAATTGGTTGAAATAATTTTTACTTAATTTAAATAAAGTTAGTCTTATTTTTATCTATTATCTAAATATAAATATTGATGTTTTTCTCTTCAGAAATAAATAATTAATATTAATAGAATATTTGCGTCAGCAAGTTTCTTGAGCTAAGAAATTGTTAATTGAGCAAGTACTTTTTTTTCTCAGTGTTTTAAATTAGATTTTTCTAGTTCAGAGATTCGATTTTGAGACTTTTGTTCCTAGAACTATTGTTCCTGGAACTTATGTTCCTAGAACTTATGTTCCTAGAAAATTGTTCCTGGAACTTCTGCTTCTAGAACATTGTTCCTTGAACTTCTGTTCCTAAAACATTTTTTCTTAGAATATTGTTTCCAGAACATTGTTGTAACTACAGTTCCTAGAACATTGTTGGAACTACATTTCCTAGAACTATTGTTCCTGGACCTTTTGTTCCTAGAACATTGTTCCTGGAACTTCTGTTCCTAGAACATTGTTCCTAGAATTTCTGTTCCTAGTACTATTATTTCTGGAACTTCTTTTCCTAGAACTTCTATTTCTGGAACTTCTTTTCCTAGAACTTCTATTTATAGAACAACTGTTCCTGGAACTTCTGTTCTTAGAACTATTGTTCCTGGAACTTCTGTTCTTAGAACTGTTGTTCCTGGAACTTCTGTTTACAAAAAGTTCCCTACAATTTAGTATAAAAATGAATTGCAACAGGAACAGCAAGATCTAGACAAAATTTTTTTTTAACGAAAAAATCTAATTAAATCTCAATTATCTCACTATTATAATTATCTTTTTAATTTACTCTTATAGTATCCAGTAGACTTTTTTTTACTGACATAAAATTTTCCAAAAATTCTAAGTAGTAGTAAAAACTTTTATATATTTACTATTAAAAATTAACTAGCCGCTTGAATTTACTAAATTTATTTATTATAAAAAATATTACCTAAAGGATAACACATCCTTGTTTCTTCATGATAATGCGGAATGCTTTTAAGACACCCACACTGACCTCCAGGCAAGAAAATTTCTCCTTGCTCCAAACAAGGTCCTGCTGTGTAATGCTCATAGCAGCCATCTTCAACTCCTCTGTGGTAATACGCCCCCAATTCGCCTTCAGTATTACACCCGCACTCTGCGATCCCATCAGCGCCATCTACAAGCAGCTGACCTCTCTGACACGGCCCGCGGGTCAGTTTGCTGTAGCATTTTTCGTCCCTGGGCCAGAACAATTTCCCGCGGTCACACTTTTCTGGCTTCTTACACACTCCCCACCTTTTTGAGCTTTAAAAATCAATAACTACCCTTAAAATCAATCACCAGAATCAATAAATTAAAAAATTACACATTACTCACTCATTAGACTCCACAGGAGCAAAATAATCTCCAACAGGACACTCAGCTCTGGTAAAAATCGGCCAGCATCTTGATTCTGCAGCAGATTGAGCTGTTCCTGGAGGACACCGGCACTCAGCACCTGGACCTTTTGCCGTTGGACCCAGTTCCATTGTCTCCGGACACGGAGCTCCAATCTGCGAATTAAACTCCTTAAAATTCTATCCTTAGAATTCAATTTTTTAAACAATCATTAAATTTACCTGGAAGATCTTGTAGCACTTGCCATCTGGTGGCCAGTAAAGCAACTGCCAGCCTCGTGGTTCCGCTGCGCAAGGATTGCTCGATGGGTTTGCCCATGGTGGAGGAACTATCGCGCCTTCTATGCTTCTTATTACTAACCACAAAAAAATACTCTCCGCTAACCTAAAAAAAAAAATTCAATTTTTGGGTCAACGGATTACTTTGAAATTTTTTTTTTTAGAACCGTACTACTACAAAGAATACCTATACAAAATTTTATCTTAATATATTCAGTAGTTTTTTTATTAAAAATAATTAAAAGTTAAAACTGGTGGTTCAGTCCGCCATTTTATCTTTGTAAATTTGAAGGATAAAAAAGGCGCGAAAATAACTGGTGGGAAATTTGAATCCAAAATTTTAAAAAAACTAATAAATTATTTTTTTTTAATTTCTAACCACATAGATAAATTCTTTATTAACCTAAAAAAGAGTTTCAATTTTTTGGGGTTAACGGATTACTTTGAAATTTTTTTTTAAGAACCATACCACTATAATGAACAATTCTACAAAATTTTATTGTAATATATTCAGTAGTTTTTTTTCTAAAAATAATTAAAAGTTAAAACTGGTGTTTTTAGTAGTCCGCCATTTTATCTTTGTAAATTTGAAGGATAAAAAAGGCGCGAAGGTAACTGGCGGGAAATTTGAATTCAAAATTTTGAATTTAAAAATTTTAAATTATTTTTTTTTTTAATTTCTAACCACAAAAATAAATTCTTCATTAACCTAAAAAAGAGTTTCAATTTTTGGGGTCAACGGATTATGATGAAATTTTTTTTTAAGAACCGTACTACTATAATGAACAATTCTACAAAATTTTATTGTAATATATTTAGTAGTTTTTTTACTAAAAATAATTAAAAGTTAAAACTGGTGTTTTAGTCCGCCATTTTGGCTTAATGGATTTGAATAAGATAATGGCGCGAAAATAATTGGCGGGAAATTTAAATTCAAAATTTAAAAATAAAAAAATTATTTTTTCTTCCAGGAGAAATTAAACTATCCGTAAAAATATTCAAATGCCAGAATTTGGCCTTCAAGAGAAGGTCATTGCGAGTGAAAGTATCGACAAATAGGACATACAAGATAATATTATTTTATTTTATAAACTCGCTGACAAAACTTACACTTTTATTAATTTTATTCGGCAACAAATAATTAACTGTATCAAGGATCAAGATAATTGCATAATTGCTTTAAAAACTACCGGTTACATCAGCACTTTCTCGTTACGTGAATTAATGCGCTAATTACCGTGATCCATATCAGCGTAATTTATTTATTTTTATTCAACAAATCAAAGCTCTTTTGTTTTGCTTCTGACAGCCAGAAAAATTTCAAGTAACAAATTTTATTATTTATTTTTTATGGACTATTCTTGTCCGTGCTTGCCATGTCCTTGCCAGGGAAAATTTCGGTAATTAAAAATTTTTATAAATATTACTTACATTTTTTTTTTTATTTTTAATTAGCATAAAATTTTTTTTTTTTTATTTATTTTTGTTAGTCACTTCACATTTTTTTTTTAAAGAAAAATTGAGCACTAGACGAATCGAGTTCCGCGGCTCGACTGAGAGACCTTGCGAGCACACTACCTGGTTACTTAACACATAAATATAAAAGAGGGGGGCGTTATATTTTAGCTGAAAGGGATACGGATTATATTAAGGATGTATAATATAAAATGAGTCATGGTTTTTCCAATTATGTATTGGGATTATTTTGTTGCATAATTTAGGATCAATTTTTTATCATTGAAATTTTTAATTTTTTAAAAAAAAATTAAAGTTAAAGCCCCAATTATTGACAGAGGTTTAAATATTGACAACCTAAATTATTTTTAAATATATTTTATTATAGATTTTTATTAAATTTTAATTAATAAAAAAATTTTTTTAAATCAGTTTAAAATCTCAAATTATACAACTTTGGTTAAAAAAACATTTTTTTAAATGCCGAGTTAAAATTAATTAAGTGACTTTTTTTTTTTTTTTTTTTATTTTAATTAACAATATAAAAAAAATTTATAAAAATTAAATAATTGAAATTAATTGTATGCTTTATTTAAATTAGTAACCTTCCAGTCACTACGTGACTGCCGTGACTTATGAACTATGAATAAAATTTTGCATTAAATTAATGACTTTTGTTAAATTACACTGTACTTTTTTAAATATTGATTTTTTAAAGATATAAGCTCATCTTGATGTTACACTCATCAAGAGCTTTCATTTGAGTACCCACATGCATTTTTGATATATTTTTCATATATACATATATATAATATATATAAATATATGAAAAATTGATGTGGGTACTCAAATGAAAGGTCTCGATGAGTATAATCTCGGAGTGAGCTTATATCTTCAAAAATGTCAATAGTTCACAAGATACAAGGTCATTTCTTAATTATGTATCTAGAGATAGAGCATTTTTGAATGCAGCCTAAATACTTATTGTTGTAAATTGAATAAAGCCCATAGATGCTATATTTTTTCATGAAAAAGGAACTAAACCGTAAACCGAACAATCAGTAAAAAAAACGGTATATAATTTTAAGTAAAAAAAATTGTACCACCAAATGAAATAGTCTTTTCTAAATAATACATATTTTTTGCAAAGACATAAACTATCATTTTTATATTAAATTTTAGCGTGTAACTATACCTCGAAATTTTAAAAGCGGTACCCATAACCTGAACAAGCTGGAGCCGTATAATTTTAACAGCACTCTAATCTCTAATAGGTTTATAGACTAGTGATCAGCATTGTCATTTGTATTAATTACTGCAAATTAAATAAGTTTTATAGCTAATAATTAGTGTAGTTAAAAATTATTGAACGTTTTGAATAGAGTTTTTTTTATTTATAATTGAAAATTTGCTTTGTCATTCATAAAAAATGTTATTAAAAAATTAAATACAAATATTTATCATTTTTAAATGAACATATTACATATTGATAGTATTATTTTTAATATTAATCAATAATATGTTATAATTCTTCAGATATTTCAATAAAACGTTGAAAATTTTTGGTGTGCCTATTGGCATATATTTTATTAGTTTAACTACTGCTTCCGGAGTGTTAAACTACTAAGGCTTGTAAGAATTGATTGTTCAACTGCTACTCCTTTGATAGTCTATCTTAAAAACGTTGTCAAAATATAAATATTCTATCTTTGTTATTTTGCTAATCGAAATTGTTTATATTTTCATGAAAATCACTATTTTATTTAATCCGATTTTCTATTTTAAGGGCGAAAAAAAATTTTTAAAATTTCAGAAGTTTGTTTACAAAATAGATGAATTATGTTATAATGTTCAATTGCGGTTTTCACTTCCATATTAATATAAACAAGAGCTCGAGCATCATCCGTGTGTTTTTCTTTCTCTTGAACACTAAATCCGTATTACAGCTCGGAGAAAGTTTCGTTGCAACTCTCTAGGGTTTCCCTCTCGATTTTATCAATGTTGTTGTTGTTATTAATTAGGAATTTGGTTTATTTTAGACGTGATGAAAAATAGGGAAGATCTAGTTCCTCTAAAAATGATTATAACTCCTAAAATATTGATTTTAGGAAAAAATCATAAGAGACTAAAATTATAGCTTGTAAAATTTTCTACAAAAAACGTTGTTATACTACAGGTCTATCTTCAATATTTTAAGAGATATAATATTATATCCTAAAAAAATATTTAAAAAACTATTAAGGTAAAAGCCGTAATTATTGACAGGGGTCTAAATATTGACACCCTAAATAATTTTTAAATATATTTAATTATCTGTAATAAGAATAACTATCATATAAATTTTAATTAAATTCTAATTAATTAAAAAATTGAAAAAAATTACTCAGTTCAAAATATTAAATGTTAATTATTAAAAAAAAGACCACCTGTTCATCAAACCAGCATACGAGTATCTTTCTTAACAACTTTGGTTAGAAAAGCAATTTTTTAAATGCCGAGTTTAAATTAATTTCTTCATCTAATTATATAATTTTTTTTTTTTTTAAATTAACAATATATGAAAAATTAATAAAATTGAATAATCGAAATTAATTGTTTCCTTTATAATATTTAAATAATGGGTGTCAATAACTAGTTGATAATTTTTAAGTTGAATCTCATATTGACAGCCAGTCGACAGCGCTATCACGCCTTTTTTTGACTTTAGCCTAAAAAATTAACTGTAAGAGTTTGAACTCTTGATTCAATAAATTATTTTTAAATTAATTTTTATATTTTTAATAGTTATTAATCATTTATGGAAATTATTATTAATAAACTTTAATAATATTGATTACTTAATTAGTTTGGATAAATAAGAATAAGCTGATGATTCTAGGCATTAGTATAGGTGTCAATAATTGGTAAGGTATGTCAATAATTAGATCAATCAGTTTTTTAACCTGTCAATCGGTGTATCCGAATACTCTAATTATTTAAAATTAATTAGTAAATATCAGTGATTATCATTTTAAAAAAAGAAATTAGTTAAAACATTACTTGAGACAAACAAACAAAATTTAATATTGATATTTGATTGCTTAAAACAAATCAAATCATAATTTTGTCTGTTATAGTGTCAATAATTGGGGCTTTTACTTTATTATTATTAATCTAAAAAATAAAAAATTAAACACGCAATCTCAGAATTGCATAACAAAATATATTTTACATAATCCCAAAAATCGGATTAAAATAAATCCTTTTATAAGAAAAACAGAATAATCAACTACATGACTATAAAGACCCGTCGGATTACTAGTAGTTATTCCAAGATCCGTCTTTGGACCATACCATACCTATTTCATTTCCTCTTCCGGTGTTTTACCAGTGACTTGCATTTAACAACCAACTTTCCCTAATCATATTTATTTTCCTGGTCGTTTGCTTGTTTACCATCAATCATAATCCTCGCGTCTAACTAACAATTAATTTTTTTCAGGATCTGCGTGGACCAGACCGCAGAGCAGGAGCGCCAGTTGCGCAACCTACAGATGGAACTGGAGAACAGCAGCCGACAGATGGCAGCAGCGGCCAATGACCGAGACAACGCTCTGATGGAGAACCGACGGCTTCAGGATGAATTAGCAGCGGTAACTTGTGAGTTCAGGACGCTCCAGCGTGAGCTGGAGGCTTCCAAGGCTGAGTCTCATGACCTGAAGAGACAATTGCAGACTTATGTTAGTGAAGTTCGACGTGCTGAGGAACTGCTTAATAGAAAGGTAAGTTTTTTTAAAGTTTCGTAATAATCGATTTATTAGCATTTTACTTATGGTTCCTAGAACTAATGTTTTTGGAACCGTTCTTCTCGGAACTATTGTTCCTGGTACTGTTCTTAAAACTTATGTTCCTGAAACTGCTGTTCCTGGAACTACTGTTCCTGGAACTACTGTTCTTGGAACTATTGTTCCTGGAACTACTGTTCTTAGAACTATTGTTCCTAGAACTTTTATTCTAAGAACTAGTATTGAAACTTCTGTTCCTAGAATTATTGTTCCTGGAACTATTCTTGAAACCTCTGTTCCTTAAACTATTGTTCCAGGAACTGCTGTTATTGGAACTTCTGTTCCTGGAACTATTATTGAAATTTCTGATCCTGGAACTATTGTTTTTGGAACTGTTCTTCTTAAAACTATTGTGCCAGGAGCTTTTATTCTTGGAACTAGTATTGAAGCTTCTGTTTATAGAACTATTTTTTCTGGAACTTTTCTTGATACTTCTGTTCCTGGAACTTCTGTTCTTGGAACTACTGTTCTTAAAACGATTGCTCTTGAAACTCCTGTTCCTGGAACTTCTGTTCCTGGAACTATTATTGAAATTTCTATTCCTATAACTATTGTTCTTGGAACTGTTCTTCTTGAAACTATTGTTCCTGGAACTTTTATTCACGGAACTAGTATTGAAACTTCCGTTCCAAGAACTATTGTTCCTCGAACTATTTTTGATACTTCTGTTCCGAAAAATGCCGTTCTTGGAACAAATTCTGTTGAAACTACTGTTCCTGGAACTGCTGTTACTAGAACTACTGTTCCTGGAACTATTATCGAATTTCTGGAACTTCTGTTCTTGGAACAGCTGTTTTTGGAACTTTTGTTCCCAGAACACTGTTCCTGGAACTTCTGTTTCTAGAGCTACTGTTTCTGAAACTGTTATTAAAATTTCTGTTCCTAGAACTATTATTGAAATTTCTGTTCCTAGAACTATTGTTTCTGGAGTTATTCTCAAAACTTCTGTTCCGATAAATACTGTTCTTGGAACTATTGTTCTTAAAACTATTGTTCCGGTAAATACTATTCTTGGAACTACTGTTCTTGGAACTATTGTTCTTGGAACTGTTCCAGGAACTATTCTTTAAATATCTGTTTAGACCTATCGTTCCTGGAACCATTACTGAAACTCCTGTTCCTGGAACTTCTGTTCCTAGAACTATTATTCTTGGAACTTCAGCAGACCATTTTTTTTCTCCTGAGATAAAATAATCAAAAAATTGAATATATAACTGCGAATTCTTTCATATTTACTCAAAAAAATTAACTAACATAACCAAACTTTTTATTTTTCAGGAAAACGAACGCACAGAAATGCTGAACCACTACAGAAGTCTCAGTTTAGAAGCGACAGTCCTGGAAAACAACAACCACAGTTTAGAATCCGAAGCTGCCGAAGCTAGAGGCGCGTTGCAGTCCGCGAGGGACCGATTGGTCGATCTGGAACGCCAATTGGCGGACAAAGATTGTCTAATTAGAGGTTATGAAGCTCAGGTGTGTAAATTCAGTCCGTTCCTGCAGTTCCAGTCCAGATTTTGATTTTAACTAACTATTTTTTGCTCCAACAGATAACAGAACTGACTCAGAACGTTGCCAGCTTGGAGACCCAAATTCGCCAGCAACTGGAACTCAGAGGAACAGCGGAAACTGATTTAAATGCGGTTCGGGATCTTTGTGTTCAGTTAGATCAGCAGAAAGAGGCGCTAAAGAAGGAAATTAATGACAAAGATGCGATTATTGCGCAATGTGAAGCTAAATTGTCGAGATTCAAAGCTGAGAACAATGCTGTGCATGATCAGAAGAGCCGAGATCATGTTACCATTGATAGGCTGCAGATGCTCCTGGACCAGGCTCGGCGCGAGTCGATTAATTATCAGAAGAACAACCAGGAACTGCTTAATGAAATTGATAGGCTAAAACAACGGATTGACGATTTGCAAAATAGATTGTAAGTTTTTTAATTAATGCTGTTGGTTTTTGAAAGGTAATGTTGATGTTTGTTAATAGGTCTTCGGAGTCTGCGGAACTTCAGCGCTGTCAGAACCAAGCTGCGGAATACAGCAACCAGGTGGCGGAACTAAGACGGAAAGTTACTGATGAAAGGTTCAATAGGGCTAGAACTGAGGAAAAACATCGAAGGTATTTTATTTTTTTAATTTTTTATAAGAATTATTAATTTAAAAAAAAAGAAAATAATTATTTTTTATGATTAGGGTAAATGCACCAATTATTGACCAATTAAGGTTTTCTTTTTCTGTACTAAGCTATAAAAAATCTATTAACCTACTAAAACCAATTTTTAATGGATTTTATTAAAGTTAAATACTTAATTAATAATAATTAATAACTATTTATAATAAAAATTAACAAAATTATATTAATTTTGTTATTTGAATTTTAAAATACTAAAATCACCAATTATTGACCGAAGAAACCCAATAAATGACCGACCGTTCTCCAATTAATTGACCGCTCAAATAATTATAAGTAATTTTGTGAACGACATATACACTGATAGAAGAATTTCTCATACAGTATAATTTTAAATCGTACAAATAATATAAATAATAGCAATAATTAACATAAAGTCACATTTCTTTATGTCACAAATAATCACAAATTCATTTTGATGACAATAATTCTTTGTGATACACTTGAAATTTTTTTATTCTTCTCCTTCTTTTTTTTAATTAAAGCTTTTTTACTAGCTTGTAACTCTTTTTTATTTTTTTAATTGCTTAGCAATTTTTTCTTCTAATAATTCGTTCTTTGATATAACCGTTCACTAAAAAAATTACAACAAAATAAAATTTAATAATGAAAAAAGATTTTAAGTATTATTTTAATTATAAATATACATTTTATAATGATTATTTTTATATTTACAAAATATTGAATGACTAAAGTACTTTAAACACTTGACAGATTTTGGATTTGAAGTTAAGAATAAGTTAGTATTATAAATATACGGTGATTAATTGGATTGTGATAAAATCAGAGGGTCTAATAAATGACCGAATGAATTTTTTACTGGGTAAAGAGCTTCTGACGGATCCAATAGTTGACCGGTCTTAAAATAATATTAAAACTTATAATTTAACTTTATTTTTTCAAAAAAGTTGAAATTTGATCTTTAATTAACATAATAAAACTAAAATATTTTATATCATGCCGATAAATATCACTAAATTAATGATGAAATGCACTCAATCTCCAATTGTACGCTAGTTATTTTTGACCGCTTTATGGCTGGTTGCGTTGTAAACAAACTCACAATATTTTTTTAAAGCTATAATCACTGCGCAATTAATAGCGTAATTTTTTATTATGATGATTAAATGCCATATATTTTTATTTTAATACTTTAAGAAAAAAAAAAACCCTTGTAAAATATTAATTAATTAACTTTTTTATACATCGGTCAACTAATTGGTGCCCGGTCAACAACTGGTGCATTTACCCTATCTACTTATTTTATCTAAAAACTAATTTATATTATAAAATATTCGTGTTTTCTTTCATTTAAATTAATTTAGTTCCCAAAGTTTCTGTAAGATGGCGTTGCACGCCGAATGAGGAACTACGTCATCACTGGCGCGTGAATTCCAATTGAAAAATAATAATTTTTAACAAAAAACTTACTTTACATTTTTATTCTTAGAAATTGATATAAAAGTTAAGAAATTATCTATTTAAACAATTTTTTTTATTAATATTATCAGAAACTAATTTTAATTAAAGATACCTCTTAAATTTTCTATAAAAAACACTTATTAAATCAAATTAAACATTTAAATCTTCCCGCCTTAGTATAGCTTTCAAAAATTCTCTGTAAGATGGCGTTGTGCACCGGATCCAGAACTACGTCATCACTAGCGCGAAAATTCAAATATTTAAAAAATTTTTTCAATTTATTTCTTGATGACTTCAAAATATTTTATATAAAAAATTATTTAAAATAATTAATTATTAAAATAAAATAAAATTATCTAAAATATAGTTAAATAATTTTTATTAATTTTTTAGAAGCTATCCATACAGTGACCAAATGCACATGTCAGGAGAACCAGCGCCAACGGGAATATCGCCATCTTCTCGAGAATTTACGCCCCAGGAACTAGGAACAAACATCAGGTACATAAAATAATAATAATAATAATAATAATAATAATAATAATAATAATAAAACATTTTTATAAATTAACCCGCATGTTTTATCCCACCAAGACGACTAGATTGGCTTAACTTACCGTACGACGCCCTCACTCGACCACGCTCGAAACTATCAACCGAGCGTCGGCCATTTTCGGTCTCAGTAACTCGTTGTGATTGTCGTTCTAAATTCTGTAAATCAATTCGTAAATTATCAGCCAAATAATAATTCGTCCATTCAAAATTTCCTGCATGTAAAATTTGAGCATGTAACCATAACCTCAAATTAATAAATAATATATTTTTAAATTTATTTGTTTACAGATCACTTAATTCATCACCAGACATATATAATGACATAATTTAACCTAAAAAAAATTTTTTTAAAAATAAAACAATTAATAAATAAATTTATAAATTAGATTTCGTGATGGCGGGCATCCGGATACTCTACGGGATTTCACGGCAACAACAAAAGGTTTGCAGCTTAGCAAGTCTATCGGTATTAAAATGTAGAGACCGTTTTTAGCATATAAGTAGCAAATATTTATTATAATTATTATTTATATTAATATATTTTTATACTATTGACTGAAATATTGGAAATAGAAAGCGATGTCGCTCCTGGTGAAAATATTACCAACAGTGGGTACATAGTTCATCATCAAGACGAACGACCTAGAACGTCATCTAGGAAAAAGTTCTTGCCCTGTGCCAAGAATTGTTGCACTGAAGACACTGTAGATGGCTGCCCTGCTTCAAAGTGTGACAAGTCTATTAGTACAGATGCTGAAAAAACTAGAAGGAAAAAAACACAAACTGATAAAAATTTTAAACCTCGGCTGGTTGATGCTGCAGTTTCGGTTCCTGCCGTTGCTGATGCTAGTGTCTCAATTCATGAGTTATCAAATTCGGTGGAAGAAATTTTTGAAGTTCCTAATGTTCCACGTGTTCCAAATGTTCCACCGGTTCCTGATGTTCCATATGTTCCACCGGTTCCAAATGTTCCATATGTTCAACCGGTTCCACATGTTCCTATGGTTCCAAACGTTCCAGTGGTTCCAAATGTTCCAATGGTTCCACATGTTCCAAATGCTCCGGTGGTTCCACATGTTCAAAATGTTCCAGTGGTTCCAAATGTTCCACATGTTCCAGTGGTTCCAAATGTTTCACAAGTTCCAAATGTTCCTAATAGACAACAAGATAACCGACTAGCTAATGACACCCAGCGTCAAGTTCCAGGAACATCAAGAGATAAGAACATTAAGAACAATGACCCTGTTCCTGGAACAAGTGGAATTCAATCCAAGAAGCGTGGTAGGCCTAGAAAAGACCCAGATGATTGTGGTTGTACAGTAGAAATACAACTACCCAACTGTAGGGTCCAAGTTCCAGCGGAACCACCGGAACCACCGGAACAAGATGAAAACGAGGAACCGTCTGATCCCAGTGACTTATTAAGCAGAACTTTCGAGCGAGTTAACGATCTCACTAGAACGGTTCAAGACAGATTGAACTCAATGAGCTTTAGCGGAGAAGCTTCTCAACCTTCCAGAGGGCGCGACTCGTTCCGAAGGTCTGGAATTTCCGAGAACGAAAATGAAGTCATCGTTGAAGAGTCCAGTACTTCGTTAATCATAGAAACTGGCACAAGGCCTCGAGTTCCACAAGTTAACCGCGAAGTTCCTAGAACAGGATTACGTTCCAGAGCAGTTCCACAGGTTTCTTCGGAACCTGCAAGGCCAGAACGGGTTCCTACGCCCCCTAGGCGTGTTCCAACGCCACCTAGACGTGTTCCATCGCCGGAACATGTTCCACCACCACATAGACGTGTTCCATCGGAACATAGACGGGTTCCAACGCCACCTAGACGTGTTCCAACACCGGAACGTGTTCCATCGCCCCCTAGACGTGTTCCAACCCCACCGGAACATGTTCCACCCCCTCCTAGACGTGTTTCAACCCCTCCAGAAGATGTTTCACCCCCTCCTAGGCCGCCAGCGCCCCCTAGACCTCGAATTTCAGTTCCTTTTAAATCTCAAGGACTTCCAGCGCCACCTAGGCCTCCAAAACAAAAGAAACCTCCTAAAGAGAATCAATGTGACCTCACTAGATGTCACAAGTGCCCTATGGTGCGCCCTCCGCGGCAGCACGTGCAATTACTCCGGCGAAATATTCAACCAATCCACACTTCAAGTCCCGTTCTCAGCAGCCACGCCATCTCGCGGCCAAACCACCGGTACCACTTGCGCTCTCATGCTAAAACAGTTTACAAGATTGAAGATGGCGCTGCAAAAGTTATTTCTCAGACCTGGGAAGAAAGTTCTAGTTCCGGATCAGAGGTGGCGCCAGTGAGGAGAAAAAAATCACGGAAATTGTCGGATTATTCAGATTTGTAAAATTGTAATTAAATTTTAAATAAATTTGTTTTTTAAATTATTATTTAGTTTTTATTACATTGTTTTAGAGTCATAAACATCTGATTAATTAATTTTAAATGTAAAAAATAAAGTTTTATACTTTTGAAATTATTAAATATATGCTAAATTAATTTTCATTAAAAAATGACCTTTGATGTTACACCCACATCAATTTTTCATATATTTATATATATCATATATATGTATACATGAAAAATTGAAGTGGGTACTCAAATGAAAGCTCTTTATGAGTGTAATATCAAGGTGAGCTTATATCTTAAAAAATCTCAATATTTAAGAAATGACCTTGTATTTAGGGAAATTTTGACATTTTTAAAGATATAAGCTCGTCTTGAGGTTATACTCATCGAGACCTTTCATTTGAGTACCCACATGAATTTTTCATATATTTATATATATCATATATATTTAGATATATCATATATATGGATATATGAAAAATATATCAAAAATGCATGTGGGTACTCAAATGAAAGCTCTTGATGAGTATAACAGCAAGATGACCTTATATCTTTAAAAATGTCAATAATTAAGAAATGACCTTGTATCTTCTAAACTATTGACATTTTTAAAGATATAAGCTCATCTTGATGTAACACTCATCGAGACCTTTCATTTGAGTACCTACATCAATTTTTTATATATTTCATATATTTATATATATCATATATATGTATATATGAAAAATATATTAAAAATGCATGTGGGTACTCAAATGAAAGCTCTCGATAAGTATAACACCAAGATGAGCTTATATTCTAAAAAATCTCAATATTTAAGAAAGTACAGTGCAATTTAGAAATTGTAATTAAATAAATAAAAATCATTTTATAATTATTACTTAGTTTTTATTACATAGTTTTACAGTCATGAACATTTAATTAATAATTAAATTTTAAATGTATAAAATACAGTTTTACACTTTTAATGTTACACGGTTAAATAATTACAAAATGTGTTGCGTTATAGTTTATAATTATAATTATGATTATTTATTATTATTATTATTATTATTATTATTATTATTTTAGTCTATACACATAATGTTGAAAAACGAATTCGAGCATTATCATTACAGCTAGAGATTACATTGAATAATTAATTATTTACAAGTATGTATAGTTAATACAATTAATGCTTCCAATTTATTTTTTTTTTTTAATTTAAAAAAATATAAATGCAATTTATGTCTGATTTATTTTTTTAATTTTTTCTCAATTTTTAAACAGAGATTTTCTTTTTTATTTATTTTAATACTAAAAAAAATTATTAATAAATTTTTAACTACAAACAAATAGACTTATAAATAATTTCAATACAAAACGCAAACAATATTAAATAAAATTGTTCTGTGTGATATGATCAATTATTTTTTAATAAGAAAAAAAAAAAATTTTATAAAAAAATTATGACACTAACAAAAATTAACCGGCGCAACGCCTAATAAGTTAATAGGCCTCATTGTAATTATTTTGTATAATTAATTAATTATTAATACTTAATTGTCTACGACATTGATCTTTAATAATTATTTATACACTTAAAAGCCCCTAGGTACTTTTTATTAATTAATTAATTAATAATAATATTAATTATCCAATTTTGTAATTATTGATCGCTGCTCAGTGTACTTTAATTGGAAATTTTTTTAATTAGTACAATAATAAGGTCACCTGCTACTCCCGGTACTTTGTTCGTTCATGTCGTAGAGAACTTGGGCTATTGTTCGGGATGATTCGACGTTAGATAGCGCCACGCCTGCCAAATGAGGCTCGTATGCTCTGAGATGTCTGAAAATTTTGGTTATTAGTAAGTTGTAATTATAAATTGCACTGTACTTTCTTAAATATTGAAGATTTTTAAGATATAAGCTCATCCTGATGATACGCTCGTCAAGAGCTTTCATTTGAGTACCCACATGCATTTTTCATATATTTTTCATATATACATATATATAACATATATTTTTAAGATATAAGCTCATTTTGATGTTGTACTCGTCAAGAGCTTTCATTTGAGTACCCACATGCATTTTTCATATATTTTTCATGAGTACCCACTTGCATTTTTTATATATATACATATATATGATATATATAAATATATGAAATATATGAAAAATTGATGTGGGTATTCAAATTAAAGCTCTTGATGAGTGTAACATCAGGATGAGCTTATATCTTCAAAATATATATGATATATATATGGATATATAAAAAATATATCAAAATTTAATATTATTTAATTTAAAAAAAAAAAATATTTTTTAAAATTGCATTTTTCATATTAAAAAATTTTTTTTGGGGTCATTTATTATAAATTGTTTAAAATTATCAAACTTATGCAAAATTTCTTTTTTATTAATTAAGAAATGACTTTGTATCTTGTGAACTATTGACATTTTTTAAAATATAAACTCATCCTGATGTTACACTCATCGAGGCCTTTCATTTGAATACCCACATCAATTTTTGATATATTTGTCATATATACATATATATAATATATATCAATATATGAAAAATATATCAAAAATTCATGTGGGTACTCAAATGAAAGGTCTCGATGAGTGTAATGTCAGGATGAGCTTATATCTTTAAAATATATATTATATATATGTATATATGAAAAATATATCAAAAATGCATGTGGGTACTCAAATGAAAGCTCTTGATTCCTGTAACATCAAGATGAGCTTATATCTTTAAAATTGTCAATATTTAAGAAAGTGCAGTGCAATTTAATGAAATTCATTAATTTAATAAAGCAACATTTTATTTATTTATAAATTAATAAAATAATTACCTTCGACCATGGGCTGAATATATGACTAGGTTTCTGAGAATTAGAGCTGCCGTTAGGCGAATACTTTTAGTAACTGGACCTTCATTGTCATCCTGAAAAAAAATATTCATTAGAAATTTTCACGAGTTAATATTAAATAGTAAAAAAAAAAAAAAAAAAAAAAAAATCATGCGAAAGAATTTGGGGGTAAAATGGTGTTAGTAATGAAATGGAAAAAAAAACAACCCAAGTGAAATTGAAATGACATGCCTTTTGGATGAGGATAAAATGGTGGATGTTAATTTTACCTGTTCTGGTGTAGAGTTTTGACCAGCTCGAGGAGAACTGACGGTAGTTGTAGCAGCAGCAGCCGGCTTGCTTGGCCTTTGCTGCTTTAAATTATACATAAAATAGTAAGAGATAAGGCTAGAGCTAGGGATTTATAAGAGAAATATTTTTTCCTAACCATGTGTGTTAATTAACCGATTAATTCCCTTTGTTAATTTTTTATACTTAAATATTAATTTATTAAATTAATTTTAAAGCTTACCATCAATTCCTTGGGGTTGATAAACTCAAGAGCGTGCCTTTTGATTGCGTGGAGCGCCGCGTTCGGCGCGTAACCAGGGTGCGAAGCTGTAGCGGCGGCTGACGCCGCCGCTGAGGGCGCTGGCGTTGCCGTCGACACTTCTTTCCCATTGGTCGCTAGGTTTTTTCTTCTCAGAAACGCCATTTTCTGTTTTAAAAAGTTGTTAATTAAGAAAAGACCTTGTATCTTGGGAAATATTGACATTTTTTAAGATATAAGCTCATCTTGATGTTACACTCATCGAGACCTTTCATTTGAGTACCCACATCAATTTTTCATATATTTTATATATTTATATATATCATATATATGTATATATGAAGAATATATCAAAAAGGCATGTGGGTACTCAAATGAAAGGTCTTGATGAGTATAACATCAAGATGAGCTTATATTTTTAAAATATGTATTATATATATGACTATATGAAAAATATATAAAAATTTAGAATGTTATTAAATTAAAAAGAAATTATTTTTTAAAAATTGCATTTTTAAAGATATAAGCTCACCATGACATTACACTTATCGAGACCTTTAATTTGAGTACCTACATCAATTTTTCATATACTTCATATATTTATATATATATATCATATATATGGATATATGAAAAATATATCAAAAATGCATGTGGGTACTTAAATTAAAGCTCTTGAAGAGTCCAACATTAAGATGAGCTAATATTTTAAAAATATGTATTATGTATATGTATATATGAAAAATATATCAAAATTTGATGTTATTAAATTATAAAAAAAAAAATGTTTTTAAAAAATTTTTCTTGCCATCATTTTTTTGTTATAAAATTTTAAAAATTATTAAATAGATGCTAAATTCTCTTTCATTAATTAAGAAATGACTTTGTATCTTGTGAACTATTGACATTTTTAAAGATTTAAGTTCACCCTGACATTACACTCATCGAGACCTTTCATTTGAGTACCCACATGCCTTTTTGATATATTCTTCATATATACATATATATGATATATATAAATATATAAAATATATGAAAAATTGATGTGGGTACTTAAATGAAAGGTCTTGATGAGTGTATCATTGAAATGAACTTATATCTTAAAAAATGTCAATAATTAAGAAATGACATTGTATCTTGTGAACTCTAAACATTTTTAATGATCTAAGCTCACCCTGTCGTTACACTCATCAAGACCTTTCATTTGACTATCCACATGAATTTTTTATATATTTCATATATTTTATATATTTATAAATATTACATATATGTATATATCAAAAATATATAAAAAATGCATGTGTGTACTCAAATGAAAGCTCTCGATAAGTATAACCTCAAGATGAGCTTATATTTAAAAAAAAACCCAACTTACCTCAGGATTACAATGCTTGTCATACAAATGCGTCATCAACGAGAACCGCCTCCTCTTGAGCCCATCACAGCTCGCCCACAAACAAACCACCTCCTCGGCATCGTTAGGACAGTGTGCTTCACACCCATGCATATAAACCTCATGCGCAGTCTTGAATTGCTTTAGACACCCCCTCCACTCGCACAAAAACGCATTGGGATCCAATTTAATAACAACTTTCTCACTCTGGCCTTGACTTGTACTCGGCTTATCTTCCGTCGAAGTCGAAGTCGTCACCTTATTAAGTTTATTCTGAAGCTTGACATTGGTCGCGGCAGCCTGGTGGGGCGTGGTGGGCCTAGTAGGGGGCGGAGTCGACGCAGGAGTGGGCGTGACCACTCTGGACGGCAGACTACTGGTAACCGGGCACTGTTGAGTCATCGCGGGGATTGTTACAGTGACAGTATTAGGATTGCTTTGGGTGACAATCGACGTGTTGACGATAATAGAATTCTGGGCCCCAGAAGAGGTCGGCACTAAAGGCGGCATATTACCGACTACCGGTAAGTTACCGACCTGGCTCTGTATTATCGGCCGAGGCATTTGCGTGACCACTACCTGCTGACCCTGAGGGGTCATTGCGACGACCTTTTGATGACCTTGACCCTGAGCTTGAGGTTGGAGGATAATTATGGTCTTGGCTCCAGTGCCCTGCTGTTGGGTCGTTTGCGCCACTAGAACCGTTTGCGCCTGACCTTGTACCAAGGCGGTCTGAGATTGGGCCAGGACGTAGTTCTGACCTGGAACGCCTCCCGAAACGACATACTGGAGCTGTCCACCCGCGCCCTGCTGGAGCAGCACCTGCGGCTGGGTCGTCCTGGCCTTCATCTGCCCGGGGATCAGCACCTGGTTGTTCTGGACGACAATCTGCCTTGGAGCAGCGACTATCAGCTGCTGCGGAACTTGCTGAGGAACCTGGACGATCTGCTGGACCACCTGTTCCGAGAACTTGGGTTCCTCTTTGACCGGTTCCTCCAGATCGTTCTCATCTTCGATAATATCCGCCGCTAGCGCCGCGTAGAGGTTAGCGGCTGTTGAAGAAACGGTGACCTTCTCCTCCTGATCTTCCTCAGACTTAATAGAGGAAACAGTTGACTCAACATTAACCGAGTCGTTCTCGTTCCAGGAACTGGTTCCGTTGGAATACTTGACCTTCTTCACAGAACTCTCCTCGGAGTCACTAGACCTTTTGATAGGCGCTTCTATCATCGCGTCGTCGTTGATAGACATTCCGCACTCCAGCTTCACTTCCTTCTTTACGTGGTTCTCCATGTTCTTCAGAACTCCGTTCACCAACTCCTTGTCCACTTTGCGCTCCAGGAGGTCCGCCAGCATCAAGTTCTGCTTCCCTCTGGAACTCACGCTTGATTCCTTGGAACTGCTGTCCTGGTCCAGGTCTGGGGTCACGCCGTTCTGGAGGATTCCTTCAAAACTGGTGATGGAGTTCTCTTCTTCAGCGACGCCGGAACAATCACGGCCGATTCCACTGCTGGAGGCTAGGGAATTGTTCGTGGAATCGGAATCCTCCGTTACCGGGGGAGTGTACGGCTTTTGGGTGATGAATTTTGGGGTTACTGGTGGGCGGATTACTTTCTGACCAATGTGGTTTTCTGTTGAGACTATCACTGAGGGGGTGCTGCTGGTTACTGTTTCGTCGTTGACTTCCATCTGGAAGAAATTTAATTATTTATATTAAAAATATTTTTCTTGAAGATCTATTAATTTATTAGCTATCCAGTCTAATACAACAATTATTTTATATAATTGTTTATAAATATTAAAAAAAAAATATTGCAAATAATATTGTTAAAATATATTAAAATTCATTAGTATTGATAAATTTAGTGATAAAATGAGTTGTATGGATTTAATTTAGTTAAATTTCGAAAAAAAAATTTTTTTGAATTTTAATTTTGGCGGGAGTGTGACGTAGTTCTGGATCCGGTGCGCAACGCCATCTTACAGAGAATTTTAAAAAACCTCACTAACGCGGGAAGATTTAAATGTTAAATTTAATTTAATTAGTGTTTTAAATGTTTAATTTAATTTAATAACTGTTTAAAATTTTTTATTTATTTTAGACCGTCTATATGATTAATATGATAAAGAAAATTATGTTTTTGGCGGATTTATATGATAAAATTCGTTTATTAAACTGAATTTAGTTGATAAGAGACCTCGATCACTTCGAAGGGTAAAATTTTTGTTTATAGGGGTAAAATTTAAATTAGAAATTTTTTTAATTTGAATTTTGGCGGGAGAGTGACGTAGTTCTGGATCTGGTGTGCAGCGCCATCTTACAGAAAATTTAGAAAGTATATTTAAATTAAATTAATAAAAGGCGTTTTTCTAATTAGTAAATTAATGTGTTCTGAATTTTTCAATTATTTTAGATTGGATTTAGTATAATTATAAAGATCTTAGCTTTAATAATTTGTCCAGGTAAGTTTTAAATCAGAAGTTATTTTTTTAATTTGAATTTTGGCGGGAAAGTATCTAAAAAATTTTAATTTATTTTGTATCATTTATATAATTAAAAAAATAAGGTAAATTATGTATCTGGTGTATTTATACAATAAAATAATTTTTTTTTAATTGAATTTAGTATAAATAGATAAGTCATGACTTAAATAATTTTTCCAGGTAAGATTTAAATAATTTGAATTTTGACGGAAAAGTGACGTAGTTTTGCGCGGGAATATTTAAATTTTTAATTAAATTCAAAAAAATTTTTTAACCAATATTTTTCAACTGACTTAATAATAATAGTAATTAATTACGTACCTTTTCACAATTATTAGCAACAACTTTAGCGCCATTGAGCCGCTGTACTTTCTTGTTCCCTCTTTGTTTCGCAGGAGCTTTAAGAACCACCGTAGAGGGCGTAGTTGCGGTAGAAGTAGTAGGTGTCGCCATCTGTTGCTGAAGCAGTCTTTGCTGTTGTTGTCTTTGCGCGACCTAATAAAAATAAAAAATAAATGATAAAAAAATTGGATAATATTAATTAATGTCTTCCTAATTAATCCAACAAAAAATAACAAATTAATCACACATCGTGCGTGTTAGTTCATCAGTGCCTTGACACTCTAATTAGTAAAAACTAAAAAATAAATATAACCTTGGTGTGTAATTAAATGGAACAAATCATAAAAAATGTTTTTGTTAATCCAAACAAAAACAATACCTGATTGTTTGTTATTAGCTGATTGGCACTGATGGTTGTTGGGATGCTAGTAGTATTTGTTACACAGGCATTTGAAGAAGTAGACACACAGGTAGCAGCGGCGCTGGGCATGCAGTCGCCGCTGACCGTTACCTTTGTAGCCAATAGGCTTTTTATTATCGAACTTGAGGTGGTACCGCCATCTTTAGTCACCACTTGAACCATGTGGGTCTGAGTTTGCGTCTGCGCCTGCGCCTGAACTGTGCCTTGGAGTGGGGGTTGGTTCTGCGCAGAACCACTGGCGAGCAGCGCCTGGCTTAGATGAGGATGCGTCACGGACACCTGGGTGTTGGAATTTAGTGATTAAAGTGACAAATAAAAAATAATATTATCAAATTAATTTTAAGGAGATCCAAGTACCCTTCTAGTGTAAATAATGTCTATAAAAAAATAATACTTTCGTTATTTTAAATTCAAAATTTTAAATTATTTTTTGAATTTGAATTTTCGCGGGCGAGTGACGTAGTTCCTAATCCGGCGCGCAACGCCATCTTACAGAGCGCGGGAAAACTAAAATTATTAAATTTTTCTAAAATAGAGTAAATAAGTGTGAAAAACAATAAAAAATGAAAAATAAAGTCTCTGCGTTCGAAAAGCTACTTTTTTTTTATTGTTTTAATCTTTAGCTTATTATTTTTTCAATCAAATTCAATGAAAATAAAATTTTTTTTAAATTGTTAATTGCATTAAATTCTTAACCAAATCGGCTGGTGGAATCTCCATTTATAAATTACAATTTTTAAAGCTAATTATTTGATTAAATGAAAACTGTTTTTTAATTTTTTCAATTATTAGGCTACGTAGATTAAATTTACAAATTTTCAGGTTTAAAAATTTTGAATTCAAATTTCCCGCCAGTTACTTTCACGCCTTATCTCCTTCAAATTGTGAAAGCCAAAATGGCGGACTGAACCACCAGTTTTAACTTTTAATTATTTTTAATAAAAAAACTACTAAATGTATCAAGATAAAATTTTGTAGAGTTATTCTTTGTAGTAGTACTGCTCTAAAGAAATTAATTTTTTAATCAAATATCCCAGGTAACATGTGCTTGAGCAAGATTTAAGTGTCAGTGTCTTGAACAAAACCCCTAGTTGCTAGTGTCTTTTTATACAAATGGGTCTTAAGTTCATGTAGAAAGAACTAGTTCAAGATTTATATATGAGTTCAAGACATTTTGTGCAAGAATATGAGACAAGTCTAATGCAAGGTGCATTGAAAAACTTTCTGACGGATTTTTTCAATCAGAAACTCACAACAGACACTTACCCATGACTTGCTCAACATTTGCTCAAGATCCGTAATTCTCAGTAATTTGTTCATTTCTAAAGCATTTGTCAACCAAAAACTAACAGCAAATGTTGAAGCGTGACTTGCTCAAGATTTGCTCAAGATGCATCATGCATTATATATTTTATAGTACTTTTTCCCCGACAACTACTTGAAGATGTATTGATTCAGTGATGCTCATTTTAAAAAAATTTTGTCTTGATCGATAAAACAGTAGGTCTGTACTCTAAAAGGTTAAGCTGAATGAGATCCACTGATCCTATAGTAAATATAGGAGGGGTAGAATGATAAGAACGGTCATTCGAAAACATTTGATCTTGAGCAGATCTTGAGCAAGTCTTGCACAAGTATATTCAGGATGCTTCTGGTGTCAGTCTTTCTCAAGAATTGATATAGTTAGTTTATCGATAAGTATCTTCAGATTTTCTCAATTTTTTTACCTAATTCTCGAGCTATAATCTGGCGGAAAGTTCTTGTACAAGGCTTGTTCAAGACTTGTCAATTGAATTTGCTACAAGTATCTGGAGCAAGATCCATAGGTAGAAAAAGACACTAACAACTATCGAAATTGAGACCAGACTTGCTCAAGCCTTGAAAAAGATTGCTATTTGGGTACTTTGCCTGGATCTCCTTAAACAACTAAAGTGAACTTAGGAAGTGTTAGGTGTTCGTTGGGTGAGTTAGAGTCGAAAGGATGTGAAGAAAAAGCATAATGAGGACGTAGACCCACCTGACTTTTAGAGTCAACCTTGGTTATGATCTGGGGTTGGTTCAGAGTAGCGTTTGAGGGTGTCGGTTTCGGTGGGGCTGACAAGTGGGCCTTTAGTATAGGAGACGCGGGTGTCTGGGCTGTGGCGGTGGAGTTGGTAATTGTCTTGGATGCATTGTTATCAAGGGCCGTGCTGTCGGGTGCAGGACTTTTAGTGACTGTACGCTGTTGTACCAGTTGTAGCACCTTTGCGGGTGTTGGAGTTGATGAAGCTGATGTTACCACTGCTGGAGATGATGGTTGGCTTGGATATGTAATTGGTGCTGGAGTTGCGCGGACTCTGATCCCTTCGTAGTACTGCGTTCCTGTTGTTTCTCCTTTTTGGGGGTTCGGGCCTATTGTTCCGCCAAATACCGATCTGGGTTGATAATAATACACAATATTCAATAAAAAAGGAATTTTAATCAAAGTTATCAAGAAAAAATAGTTTGAAATTGAAATTTTGTTTTTTGAATTTGAATTTTCGCGCCAGTGATGACGTAGTTCTGGATCCTGTTTTTGGCGCCATCTTACAAAAAATTTCCGAACTATTTTTTTAAAAAAAGTGAAAAAACGCAAATTTTATTTAAAAAAAATGACTTACCTAACACATCTAGGAAAATGAAGCGGAGCAATGACTCCCCGTCGTCCAATTTTAGTGCAAGAGCTCAAATATTTTTTATAAAGTTCTTCCTGTTCAATTTTAACCCCAGACGCAAGTTCAAAGGTAGCTCTTAGCCAGCCTAGAGCAAACTGTTCATTCTCTTGGATAATTTGCTGATGAGCATGCTGCTGCTGGAGAGAATTAGCAGCCTCGATGGCTTTGTTAGCAGCAGCCTTGACAGCAGGGGTCGCTGGAGTAGTCGGCCTGGAGGTAACAGGACTGATGTTGCTGACTACTGGAGCAGCAACTGGAGCTGGGATGCTGGCTGTGGTGACGACAGCTGGTGTGGTAGCAACGGGAGTAGGAACAGAAGTAGTAGTGGTGGTAGTGGTGCTCTGGCTGACAGTAGAGGTCGCTAGAGTGCTGACAGTTTCCACGACGCGCATCAAGATACACGCTTTGGGTCCATAGCTCTGAGCTTCAACTGTGACCAAGGCCACCAGGGTGTCAATGGCGCCTCGGACCCTCGCCAAGCTGGTGCAAGGTCTCTCTCCGAGACTCGTTAGTGCATACAAGCACTCTAGGGTGTAGACAAGCAGCGCGATGTCGCTGAGTGCCAGGAACCTTGTTTAAAAATGTAAATTTTGAAGTATTTCGTATTTAATTTTTGTTTTATTTTATTTTAGATAATATTTTACTTGTGAAAAAATTATGTATAAAAAGCATATTGAGATAAATAATAATAACTACAGAACGGCTGCCCAATTTTAAAACACAGTAACTGCAAAATTTTTATACCTGATTTTTTCTAGTATTACTGCATTTTTTATAACTTTTAGACCGCAATATCAAGTATTTTTTCTTAAAAATATTTATATTAAAGTATTTTCTATTTAAAAATTAAATTTTTTATAAATTTGGCGGGCGAACTTTTTTTTTTAATAAGAAAAATTGAAAAAAATTTTTAAACGTTAGTTACTGTATTTTGAAATTGGGCAGCCGAGAACATCAACATGCTTTATCTATCGATCAATACCAAGGTTAAGTTCGAAGATGAGCTTAATTGGGTGAGTAATTTGGAAATGACAGGATTTTGAAAATCGTAAAAATTAATGATTTTACTACTTTAACATGGTATAATTACTGAACCTCTTATAACTTTTGAACGGCTTTACCGATCAATTTCAAAAACTAATCTGCTCTTAACATCAAAAAACCACGTCTATCGCCGCCAGTCCGGTCAAAATCGGTTAATTCGTTCGTGAGTTATCGTTGACGAAAGAAAACCGAAAAAAGCGTTTTTTCGAAATTACTCCGAAGTTTTCCACTCTGTCAATATAAACTCAAAGATTTTTTATGAAGCTTAAAAAACTGCGTCGAATGCCACCAATCGCGTGAAAATCGGTTCATTCATTCAAAAGTTATTGCGATTTAAACTTTTGAGCTCAAAAGCATACAAAAGCTATTTTTTTGAGCTCGGGGAGCTCAAAATAATACACAAATTGTATTTATGAGCTCGAAGAGCTCTAAAACGTCATAAGTGCAATTTCAAGCGTTTAGGTATAGAATTGGCGGGAAGTTGCAGGGATGGCCTTCAGGGTCAACCGTATTCTTAATTTTTTTTCATTCAGTTTAACAAAATAGACTACATTGTCTTTTATATAGTTTTTTAATTGAATTTTAAATATATTTAGTCTATTTTCTGATCTTATATCACGTGGTAATTCATTATACCAAACTAACCCTCGGTAAGTGATAGTTTTTTCAGCAGCTATTGTTCTTGTTCTTTTAATTTTCAACTGTCCTGCTCGCGTTTCATAATAAGATTCACTGAAATCAAATTCTTCGTATAAATAGTTCGGGTAAACACGACATTTAATTTTATGAATAAATAGACATGTGTTATATCTAATTTTTTGTCTTATCGACATCCAATTCAATGTATCCAGCATTGAATCAATGCGAGTATATTTATTAACATTCAGAATTACGCGCATTGCCCTATATTGGAGTAATTGTAAGGTCTTTAAGTTATTTTTATTGTAGTTAATCATGATTGTACAACAATAATCTAAATGTGATGGAATACTATAGATTTATAAATCTGACACTTTACATAATTAGTTACCGTATTACCTATTCTTCTGAGTACATTTATTTTTTTTGCAATTTTTTTACTTATATAATTTTAGTTTCTATTAAAAGTCAAATTATCATCTAACATTATTCCTAGATATTTTGTTTCCGAGACATAGTTTAATTTATTATCATTAAAATATAAAATAAATAAATAAAAAACAAACCTGCAGATTAATTCAAAGACTTGGTCATCCAGCCCGAAGGTCACCAGCTCCTCATTGCAGTCTTGCTGGCTGATCTTATTAAGGACTTCCAAGCAGGACATCACCACGAACCGGTCCGTGGAGTCAATCCCGTGGACGATGCAGTTTATTATCCCCTCAGCTAATCTTTCTCCGACTTCTTTCAACTCGATCTCGTTGGCAATGTTCCCCAGGATGTCGAAGCCAAGTTGGTGCAAATTGCTCCACCTCGCGCGAACACAAAGCAACACGAACCGTAAGAAGCAGCGGTTCTTTCCAAGAACCGCTGCGTTTTCTGGAGTGAAGCTCAAGTTCCGGAGGATTGAAGCGATTTGCAGAACTCGCTGGCCGTAAGGGTCCTGCGTGCCTAAGGTACGACCCATGCAGAACAAATCGCGGTCTTCTTCCTCGAATTTTATTATTGAGTTTGCGTTCTGGTCGAAACAACCTTCGTCTAGGTACGTTGAGAGCGAGGAGATGCTTAGAGTTGAGGCTAAGCGGGAACATTCTAGAGGCAGGGGATCTACTTCCATTGCTTCGCCGTTTACTAGTTTTTCTTGCTGCTGGAAAAAATTAATGACTTTCGTTAAATTGCACTGTACTTTCTTAAATATTGATGTTTTTAAAGATATAAGCTCATCCTGGTGTTACACTCATCAAAAGCTTTCATTTGAGTACCCACATGCATTTTTTATATATTTGTCATATATACATATATATAACATATATTTGAAGATATAAGCTCATCTTGATGTTATACTCATCGAGAGCTTTCATTGGAGTACCCACATGGATTTTTGATATATTTTTCATATGTACATATATATGATATATATAAATATATGAAAAATTGATGTGGGTACTCAAATAAAAGGTCTTGATGAGTGGAACATCGGGATGAGCTTATATCTTTAAAAATGTCAATAGTTTACAAGATACAAGGTCATTTCTTTATTACAGCTTGATAAAAAGGTCGATAAAGATAGATCAAAATAAAGTAAAGTACTCAGTAGTTGAACAGGTTTTAAAGTAAAACGTATTTGACCCTACTTTTAATATATAAAGATGTAATTATTACAAATTAGTGATTTTCATGAAAATATAAACAATTTTGATTAGAAAAATAACAAAGATAGAATATTTATATTTTGACAACGTTTTTAAGATAACTATCAAAGGAGTCGTAGTTTAACAATCAATTCTGACAAGCCTTAGTAGTTTAACACTCCGGGAGCAGTAGTTTAACTAATAAAATATATGCCAATAGGCGCACCAAAAATTTTCAACGTTTTATTGAAATATCTAAAGAATTATAACATATTATTGATTAATATTAAAAATAATACTATCAATATTTAATATGTTCATTTAAAAATGATAAATATTTGTATTTAAATTTTTAATTACATTTTTTATGAATGACAAAGCAAATTTTCAATTATAAATCAAAAAAACTCTATTCAAAACGTTCAATAATTTTTAACTACACTAATTTTTAGCTATAAAACTTATTTAATTTGCAGTAATTAATACAAATGACAATGCTGATCACTAGTCTATAAACCTATTAGAGATTAGAGTGCTGTTAAAATTATACCGCCCCAGCTTGTTCAGGTTATGGGTACCGCTTTTAAAATTTCGAGGTATAATTACACGCTAAAATTTAATATAAAAATTATAGTTTATGTCTTTGCAAAAAATATGTATTATTCAGAAAAGACTATTTGATTGGGTGGTACAATTTTTTTTACTTAAAATACACCGTTTTTTTTTTCACTGATTGTTCGGTTTACGGTTTAGTACCTTTTTCATGAAAAAAATAATCTATCGGCTATTCTCGACTTTTAAATTAACAAAAATATAATTGTTTTGATTTATAATTGAAAAAACTTACAGAAATCAATTACTGTATCATTGAATAATTATAAAATGCGCATATTACTCATAATAAATCGGATTTTGTATTACAACAATTCGAAAAGTCTGTTCAAGTACTGGTCCAATTTTTATTAGTGTTCAACTGGGTACTTTACTTTAATATATCAAAATTAAATTCTACAAAAATTTCTCCGCCATTTTGGCTTTTCTAATTTTTTTTTCTTCATTTTTAAGCTTAGAATTTCCTTACAAATTACCAAAAAAATATTTTTAAAATATATTACCTGTTTATCCTGCTCCTTATCTTCACAAATTTTCTCTTTACTCTCCCCCGCAGCTTTCTTGCTATTTTTATCCAAGATTTTCCTCCTCGAAAAAGTATTAAGAATAGTCGGCGTGGGTTTCTTCATAAAAGTCCTTTCATCAGTGAGATCTAGCACCTGAGGCGAGTCAAGAACATCAGACCAGAAGGAATTTATAGAGTAGTTCCTTACTCTGGAGTAAACTTCAATAAAGAGGTGCCTCGTCCCTGGAGAGTCAAAAACCCCAGCATGGGCAAGCAAGATGTTGATAAGCCGGGGATACTTGTCCAATCTCAGCGTGTGCTTGCCTTCGTTAGATAAAAGGGTGCAGACATTGATAGCAAAGTCCTGCTCATTGGGCAGCGGTGAGAGCAAGGACAGTGCTAGCTTGTCGTAGTTTGAGGGCTTGTAGAGATTCGATGATAGTCCGTTGTACTCACGGAGTGATTCTAGAATTTATGAATATTTATGTTGGATTATAAATGTTATTATAATATTTCTAAATGTTTTTTTTGTACTTGAAGTATGCAATAGTTCAAGTAACTATTGATAAATAGTTACACACTGATAGAAGGATTTTTAAAAGTAATTATAAGAAAACTATAAATGCAATTTTTAAAAATAATTCCATGACTTGAGCGCGAAGCTTTCTATTAGCGATAAAAGTCATTTTATTCATTTATTGTATTTTGTAGATGTGAATGTGGTTATAATAATTCAATTTAACTTTTTTACATTTATTTTTCTCTCTTAAGAAAATTTCAAAGGAAAGTTTTGAAAACAATTTCAGGTTTTTTTTTTGGACCTCTTATCATTTATCCAGAATTTCAATTTTAAACATGATTTCTATCGTGTCTACTCAGACCAAGTATTTAAAAAGTTTAAAATTGGAATTCTGGGCTGAGTACTGAAGATATGAAAAAATGATAAGAAACTTTTTTTATAGAAAATTAAATTTTTTATCTATAAGATCTTTATCAATTTTTTTATATCTCTTATCGTTTATCCAGAATTTTAATGTAAAATTTAATTTTAATCGTGCCTAATTAGACAAAGTGATTAGAAAGTTAAAAATTAAAATTTTGGCTTAAATATTAAAAATATGAAAAATAAGATAACTTTTTTAACTCTAAGCCAATTTTTTTTCATGTTCTATTTTTTACACTGAACATTTATTAATTTTTAATAAATTAATTATTCAATGTTTATAATTTATATTATTAAAAATAATATAAATTTAGTTAGAATGTGCTTATAGTGACAGTTTGTAAAAAATGTGGTTAGGATACTTAGTTCTTGTCTTCGCCGCTAGGTGGCAATTTTTTCTCGCTGGTAAAGAAACCTTGCCAGAGTATATAAAAGTTCTAATTTTTTATTAATAATTTTGAATATTTAAAAATAATTTTCTGTTATTATATAAAAATTATATTGAGAAAATGTTAATATAGGGTAAATGGACCAATTATTGACCGATTAAGGTTTTCTTTTTCTGTTCTAAGCTATAAAAAATCTATTAACCTACTAAAAATAATTTGTAATGGATTTTATTAAAGTTGAATACTTAATTAATAATAATTAATAACTATTTATAATACAAATTAACAAAATTATATTAATTTTGTTATTTGAATGTTGAAATACTAAATCACCAATTATTGACCGAAGAAACCCAATTAATGACCGACCGTTCTCCAATTAATTGACCGCTTAAATAATTATAAGTGATTTTGTAAACTACATGTATGTAATTAAAATTATGCAGTACTTTCGAAGTATTAATGACATCTTTAACAAAACTAAACATATAATATAATTTTAAATCGTACTTTTTTTATAAAATAATATAAATAATAGCAATAATTAATATAAAGTCACATTTCTTTAGGTCACAAATTCATTTTTTGACGATAATTCTTTGTGATTCACTTGAAATTTTTTTATTCTTCTCCTTCTTTTTGTCAATTAAATCTTTTTTACTAGCTTGTAACTCTTTTTTATTTTTTTAATTGCTTAGCAATTTTTTCTTCTAATAATTCGTTCTTTGATATAACTGTTTACTAAAAAAATTACAACAAAATAAAATTTAATAATCAAAAAAGATTTTAAGTATTATTTTAATTGTAAATATACATTTTATAATGATTATTTTTATATTTACAAAATATTGAATGACTAAAGTACTTTAAACACTTGACAGATTTAATTTTGAAGTTAAGAAGTTAGTATTATAAATATACGGTGATTAATTGGATAAAATCAGAGGGTCTAATAAATGACCGAATAAATTTTTTACTGGGTAAAGGGCTTCTGATGGATCCAATAGTTGACCGGTCTTATAATAATATTAAAACTTATAATTTAACTTTATTTCTTCAAAAAAGTTGGAATCAGATCTTCAATTAACATAATAAAACTAAAATATTTTATATTATGCCGATAAATATCACTAAATTAATGATGAAATGCTCTCACTCTCCTATTGTACGCTAGTTATTTTTGACCGCTTTATGGCTGGTTGCGTTGTAAACAAACTCAGAATATTTTTTTAAAGCTATAATCACTGCGCAATTAATTGCGTAATTTTTTATTATGATGATTAAATGCCATATTTTTTTATTTTAATACTTTAAGAAAAAAAAAACCCTTGTAAAATATTAATTAATTAACTTTTTTATACATCGGTCAACTAATTGGTGACCGGTCAACAACTGGTGCATTTACCCTAGTTCACTTCAGTTTTTTTTAGAATTTTTTTTTTCTTAAAAAAATAAAAATTTGTACTCAAAATAAAATTTCAACCCTAATTTTTTTAAATCAAATTTTTCTAATTTTTTTCAATGAATATTTTTAAACTTAAGTTTCTAAATTAAAAAAAAATATAATTTTTATGAATAAAACTTACCAGCGACATTATGTTGATGATAATTGTAAGTAAGAGGAACAGAATGAAGTGACCTGGCTGACCACTTGCGATGCCTAGAGTCCTCATCATCATCATCAGCCTGCTGTCCGTCCTCGCCAAGAAAGTGGACCTTCTCGTACCTGTCGAGATACCTGAAAGCTCTGCTCGGTTAGTATAGGCCCCGGCGACTCGCTGGGAGTGAATGACTGAGTGACAAATAAACGGTCTACTCGCTGCGCTAAGGTGAGTGTGTAGATGATCGGAGAGTGGGTAGATAGTCCAGCAGCCACGTGAGTCGTCACGCTTTTGTAGTATATAGTAGTCCGTAGTCTGCTGTCTCGTTGGAGCCTCCTATCGTATCAATGAATGAATGGTAGGTAGGCGGTGGTGAGTACGGGCTCGTAGTAATATAACTAAACGCGAGTTTCAGTGTCAAGTATTCAGTAATATCGCTTCTATTCGTATCGCGGTGCATACGAACATACCACAGGACTCGTGTTTTCTCGCCGGGTCGATCGGGAGGTGGAGGTGGGGGGAGGGTCTTAACATACACCAAGAAATTAAGAAGTGGTGGGAGGAAGCAAGCTTGTATTTTGTAGCAATAATTCCCATGTAATAGACCGGGAGTTACTTCATCGGTTTCTTCACGCTAGTTTTTTATCATTGAGTATAGAAGGAGATTGACACTCACTGCGCTGATTGATACTCGGTCATTCAACTCCCTTTTTCAAGGTTAATTTTTTTTTCTTGCTAAGAAAAAAAAATTGAAATTTTTTTTTTTTTTTTTTTATGAAAGGGTGTTTTTTTTTATTACCGCAAGTAAATTTGCTTCAAGCCCACGCCGCTGTTTACGCAGCCTGATGGTAAGTGAAATTGTTCGCATAATGATGACCACTCGTTCCTGGTATTTACCTGGAAAATTTTAAAAAATATTTTATAAGAATTTTAAAAAGATAAATAAAATTTTACATTATTAAATAATGAATTTTGTTAAATTGCACTGTACTTTCTTAAATATTAACATTTTTTAAGATATAAGCTCATTTTGATGTTACACTCATCAAGACCTTTCATTTGAGTACCCACATGCATTTTAGATATATTTTTCATATATACATATATATAACAGATATTTTAAAAATATAAGCTCATCTTGATGTTATACTCATCGAGAGCTTTCATTTGAGTACCTACATGCATTTTTGATATATTTATATATATAAATATATGAAATATATGAAAAATTGATGTGGGTACTCAAATTAAAGGTCTCGATGAGTGTAATGTCAGGATGAGCATATATCTTTGAAAATGTCTATATTTCACAAGATACAAGGTCATTTTTTAATTAATGAAAATTAATTCAACCTATGGATAATAATTACCAAAATTTTATAACAAAAAAATGATGGCAAAAAAAATTTTCAAAACTAAAAAATGCAATTTTTTGAAAATAATTTTTTTTTTAATTTAATAACATACTAAATTTTGATATGTTTTTCATATATATCTGTATTTAATAAATATTTTAAAGATATAAGCTCATCTTGATGCTATACTCATTAAGAGCTTTCATTTGAGTACCCACATGCATTTTCGATATATTTTTCATATATACATATATATAATATATATAAATATACAAAATATATGAAAAATTGATGTGAATACTCAAATGAAAGGTCTCGATAAGTGTAACATCAGGATGAGCTTATATTTATAAAAATGTCAATAGTTCTCAAGATACTAGTAATTTTTATAAAAATTCCGACTTTAATTTTTTGATTAAATCTTGAATAATAATTATTTAATAAAAAATTAATTTTTCTAAATTTGTGAATATTTTTCTAAATTTTTTTTCAATAAATATTTGTAGCAAAAATTCTATAAAATAAAAAAAAAATTTTTTACTGAATTTAAAGTAAAAATTTATATAAAAAAATTTTTTATTTAATTCTGACAAAATTTGTAATAATAATTATTTAATAAAAAATTTATTTTATAAAATTTGTAAATATTTTTACTAAATTTTTTTTAATAAATATTTGCAGCAAAAATTTTATAAAATTAAAAAAAAATTTTTTAACTAAATTTTAAGTTAAAATTTATATAAAAAATCTTTGACAAAATTTGTAATAATAATTTTTAATTAAAAAATTTATTACAAAAAAAAATCTCTAAAATTTTAAAGTTAAAAGAATCAGCTGTAGCCTTTAGCCAGGTATCTGGAAATAGAGGGGATAAATGTTGAGCTAAAAGGGGCTAGAGACTAGAACGAGAGACTGCAAGGAATAATAAACCCCCTTAAACAGCTGATCCGCGCTTATTTATATTAAACTTTTCACCGAATCAAATTAATCGAATGACTAGCAATAAATTTATGTGTTGAATTTCCATCGGTACTTTTATTACATTTTGCAGAGTAATAAAAACCTTTTGTACAACGTTGTCATATTTATAAGCAACGTCGAAGCCCGTTTGGTGCCGGTATGCGCGCGACTGGGCGCGGTGTTGCCGTATCGACCGCGCTTTAGTACGCGAATTAGCTCTTTTCAGTCCCGGGACAATTTTTTTACTTTAGTTATTAATTTATTGACACTTTGGAAAAAAATTAATTAACTTTTTAAATTTAAATATTTATAATTAATTTTAATAAAAGAATTTTTTATTTATTTTTTTAATTAATTTTAGTTTTAATTTAATATTAACAATGATTACTTTTGATAATTTTTTCCCATAAAATTTAATTATTATCAATTGTAATAATTTTTTTTTTAGTAAATTAATTTTAATAAAATTAAAATTTAATTAAAAATTATTACCTTGATCCATCCACCATGTGCAGTAACAAGTAGATAAAGTAAATATAGATCTATTTCATTTCCGCTAATTTTTGGATATTTTTTAAATCCGGTCCTGTAAAAAGAATTAAATTATTAATATTGAACAGAATTTTTTTTAATTAATTTTTTGAAGAAAATTATGATGTGAAAAAAAAAAGTTCAAATTTTTCTAGATACATAATTAAGAAATGATCTCGTATCTTGTGAACTAATGACATTTTTAAAGAGATAAGCTCATCTTGATGTTACACACATCGAGACCTTTCGTTTGAGTACCCACATCAATTTTTCATATTTTTATATATATCATATATATGTATATATGAAAAATATATCAAAATTGAATGTGTTATTAAAATTAAAAAAAAAAAATATTTTTAAAAAATTGCATTTTTTTAATTTTAAAAATTTTTGTTCTAAATTTTTTTAAATTGTTGAATATATGCTAAATTAATTTTCATTCATTAAAAAATGACCTTGTAAATCGTAAACTAATAACATTTTTAAAGATATAAGCTCATCTTGACATTACACTCATCGAGACCTTTAATTTGAGTACCCACATCAATTTTTCATATATTTATATATATTATATATATATATATATATGTATATATGAAAAATATATCAAAAATGCATGAGGGTACTCAAATGAAAGCTCTTGATGAGTGTAACATCAAAATGAGCTTATATCTTTAAAATATATATTATATATATGTATAAATGAAAAATATAACAAAATTTATGTTATTAATTCAAAAATTTTTTTAAAAAATTGTATTTTTTCATTATTAAAATTTTTTTTTGCCATAATTTATTTGTTATAAATTTATTAAGCATATACTAATTTTAATTAATTAAATGACCTTGTATATCTCGAAATATTGAAATTTTTAAAGATATAAGCTCATCTTGACATTACACTCATCGAGACCTTTAATTTGAGTACCCACATCAATTTTTCATATATTTATATATATTATATATAAATATATAAAATATATGAAAAAATAATGTGGGTACTCAAATAAAAGGTCTCGATGAGTGTAANNNNAAATACCATATATATAAAATATATAAAAAAAAAGCCATGTGGGTACTCAAATGAAAGCTCTTGATGAGTATAACATCAAGATGAGCTTATATCTTCAAAATATATATTATATATACATATATATGAAAAATATATCAAAAATGCATGTGGGTACTCAAATGAAAGCTTTTGACGAGTATAACATCAAGATGAGCTTATATCTTTAAAAACATCAATATTTAAGAAAGTACAGTGCAATTTAACAAAAATAATTTAATAAAGCTTTTTTTAATTTATTAAATAACAACTAAAAAATTGCACTTATAGTTTTTCAAGTTTTTTACAAATGAAATTTTCTTTTTCATTTTGAAAATGAAAAAATTTAGATATCTAACCCAATCTTCATCTAAAAATATATTTTTTAAAAAGCGTCATAAAAAAATTTTTTTTTCAATTTTAAATTGGCAATAAAATTTTTTTACAATAATTGTAATTTTTAAAAAATCGTCACAATTTTTATTTTTAAAATAAATTATAAAATTAATTGCAAAAAAAAATTTCTTTTTTTAATAATTAATTTTTCAAAAAGTTTCTTAATTTTTTTTTAAGAAATTAAAAAATTTAATACAACAAAAAATGTCAAATTAATTTTTTTAAAAAGCTTCATAATTTTTTTTTTTTTAATAAATTAATAAATAAAAAAATTAAATGCACTAAAAATTGTCAAAAAAAAAAAATTTTTTTAAATATTAACTAAAATAAAAAATAAAAAAACAAACCCTCTAGTCTCATGAAAATGATGAAGCTCCTTCAAAAAAGTGAGTCTTTCCCTCTCGTAGGTGACCGGGTCCTTATTAAGGATCTTAGCCATGTTTAATATTTAAAAACTGGCTTTATTCATCCAAAGTTTGTACTTGAATTTAGTCATTAGCTCCTCGCTCGAGTTATCAGCCCAGCAAACCAAGACCATGTGGAGAGTGGCGAGTGAATCCCCCCCTCGAGGGATCAGCAGCTCAGGAGCCACCAGTGCCTCTAGTAAGACCTGAAAAAAATTCCAGGGTAAATAAATAAAATATTATCAATCACTGACAACAATGTTTAATTATTAACTACCAAATAATAAATAACAAATAATAATAATAACACAATACACTAACGACGAAGCTAAACCGTGGATATCAAAATGGCGTCCCTGCCGCCTTCACTGGCAAGTATTAAGAGGTAACTCCCGAGGATTCTTCTTAAAGGAAGGTATTTATTTCCCGGTCCGGGTCCAGGAGCACTCCGAGCCTCGGCCCGGATTATTAGTCTCACCTCAAGGCTGGAGCTCACCGAGCACTCAGTCTTTGGCTGTCACGTCCGTCGTAATGCACCACTACAGCTACGCCAGACACCTCGGGGGAAAGATACACCTTTTACTCACGAGTGAATATTTTTTTAATTTAGTTTTTATTTTAATAGTCAAAGGATTAACACTTATTTTGACTCCCGCGCACTCCGGTTAGTTTATTCGGTAATAGTATAATCTTTGAAGGGTAATTATTGATGCACTCGACGACTATTGTAGACACTAGTGTACAGTGTTACCCCCATTTCCGTCTGTTTCTGTTAGCTGCTGATTTTAAATTTTGCTTGACACCAGAGGGCGCTTCTGAACCGCTTTCACGCTTTTTTGGAACTACTCCTGACATCTGGCGGATCTTTTAGGTAAGTACTTTTTTGACATGTTAATTTTATTTATTGTTGACAATAATTAATTAAAATTCTTTATTAATAAAATTATTAATTAAAATTTGATATTTATTTTTAAAAACCCAACTGCAATTTATAATCATACTGAAGTAAATCAGCTGTTAATTTTTAAAAATTTTTTTAATACCATCAATTATTATCAAAAAAAAGCTTCTAAAAATTTTCACTTGTAATTTTTATCAATTTTCACATATGTGCAATTTTTTTAATAATTATTCAATTGCTATAAAATTATAAAAAAATTTTTAACTTCAGTGTCATCAATTTATGAAAGAAGTTAGCTGACATCTAAAAATTTTTAGAATTTTTTTTCCATTGAAAAAATTATTATAAAAAAAATAAAATAAAAATATTCATTTTTATAAAAAACTTTAAAAATTGTAAGTGCAATTTTTAAAAAATATTTTTTTGTTTTAATTTAATTATTAAAAAAAAATTTAAAACGTCGGCTAACTTAATTTTCATGTGCAATTTTTTTTTTATTTTTAATGTCAGCTAATTTTAGTGTCATTTTTTTTATTAATAAATTTGGCTTTTATTAAAAATAATTAATAGAAAAAATAAGAATTTGACATTATGTAAATTTTTAAAAATCTATAAGTGCTATTTTAAATAAATATTTTTTTAGTTCTTATTTAATTAAATAAACATTTTTTTATTATTTTTAATGTCATTGTTTTAAATAAAACAAGTTTTAATGTCATTAAATAAATAAAAATAAAAATTTGACATTTTATAAATTTTTAAAAGTATAAGTGCAATTTTTTAAATATTTTTTTAGTTTTAATTTAATTAATTAAACATTTTTTAATTTTTAATGAATGTCAACTAATTTTAGTGTTATTATTTTTATTAATAAATTTGGTTTTTATAAA